CCGCGCTGCTCTCCCTGATAATGTTGACCGCGCATGACGCAATATGCGATCCCACCTGGCGAACGCCACTGCCTCGATCTTCTGGCCCGCGGTCAAGACGTTGTCAGGAGCATAGACGACCTCGCATCGCATGCACGTCAACCCTCACAAGATGCCCTGTTTGTTTGGCTGCGACAAGGACGTGCAGGCCAAGAACGCGGATGACATCAGCCACTACATCTCGTGCCCTCGGTTGTGGGCGCTCTTGGCACTACCTCGTGGACAGCCCGCTGGCGACGCACTTACTCGCCTCGGCCTCCACCAGAGTGACATCATCGACGACCATCCCAAGCACACCATCGCCCGCATGGCCGTGGCCTACCGCAGCTACAACATCGTGCGGGTGCGCCACATGAACGGCATGCACGACAACCGCAACGAGTACAACTACCACAAGGTGGTCGTGGCCGCCGCCCGTCGCGCTCTGAGGCTCCCTCGGTGCCTCGTGGGCGGCGCGGGGCCGCTGCGCCGCTGAACACGGACGCTCGCTCTCCCCCGCGTGTCGTTCGCTCCTCCTCCTCCTCTTCCTCCTCCTGCACTCGCGGCTATAGAGCACAATCGCGGCATGGCACATCGCGGTTCAGCACGGCGCAGCACGGCACCGATTTCGGCACGGTACATCAAGACCGATACACTCAGCATTGCAACTTGGCACGTTCCTGGCACGTTCCAAGGGCGTCCCTTGGCGAGTCCCCCTGGCACGCCGCGTGGCGCGCCCCCTGGCACACCCCGTGGCACATCCATTGGCACGTTCCGTAGCGCGTCCCCTTGGCACGTCCCGCGGTGTGACCCCATGGCACGTCCCCTGGCACGTCGCCTGGCGCGTCCCTTGAGACGTTTCGCGGCGCGTCCTCCTGGCATGTTCCCCTGTCAATTTGCTCTGGGGCAGCTACTATGTGTTCGGGCAGCTCGAGCTTAAGATCCAGATCAGTTCGGTCAGGACTCGGATGCAAAGGAGGACTCGATCCACGACGCTATAGAGCACAATCGCGGCATGGCACATCGCAGTTCAACACGGCGCAGCACAGCACAGCCCTCGGCTGGGTACATCAAGATCGATACACTCAGCATTGCACTTGCCCGTCACCCAATCAGGTATCTTTGAAAACGTTGCCATGCGTTACAGCTCTATATTATCCGTAAGGGCTTCGCCCCCTGCCGCCGGCCCCTTCTCTCGGAGAATGGGCCATGGAAGAGCTAAGTCATGAGGCTTTGGCGCTGTCGTGCAGCAGTATCTGAACTTCATGCGAGGCCGATTCGCAATCGGCAAAACCAACTGATCACAAGAGGGGTTACCACACAGGGCGATTGGTAAGACGTGTATGGTTTACGAGCTTGGTTACCACACCTTGGGATTAAAGGGCCGAGGGAGTACTCGCAGTTTGGGTTACCACGCCTTGCGATTGATGTGCGTGAGGGGTGGCACCGATTTCAGAAATGTGGCAAATCCCCTATGTTTTTGGACCCTGACCCCGCGGATCTGCGTGAGGGGTGGCACCGAATTTGAGAAATGTGGCAAATCCCCTGTGTTTTTGGACCCTGACCCCGCGGATCTGCGTGAGGGGTGGCACCGAATTTGAGAAATGTGGCAAATCCCATGTGTTTTTGGACCCTGACCCCGCGGATCTGCGTGAGGGGTGGCACCGAATTTGAGAAATGTGGCAAATCCCCTGTGTTTTTGGACCCTGACCCCGCGGATCTGCGTGAGGGGTGGCACCGAATTTCAGAAATGTGGCAAATCCCCTGTGTTTTTGGACCCTGACCCCGCGGATCTGCGTGAGGGGTGGCACCGAATTTCAGAAATGTGGCAAATCCCATGTGTTTTTGGACCCTGACCCCGCGGATCTGCGTGAGGGGTGGCACCGAATTTCAGAAATGTGGCAAATCCCCTGTGTTTTTGGACCCTGACCCCGCGGATCTGCGTGAGGGGTGGCACCGAATTTCAGAAATGTGGCAAATCCCTTGTGTTTTTGGACCCTGACCCCGCGGATCTGCGTGAGGGGTGGCACCGAATTTCAGAAATGTGGCAAATCCCATGTGTTTTTGGACCCTGACCCCGCGGATCTGCGTGAGGGGTGGCACCGAATTTCAGAAATGTGGCAAATCCCCTGTGTTTTTGGACCCTGACCCCGCGGATCTGCGTGAGGGGTGTCGATTTCGAGCCCCCCCAGCAATTCAGACAACGCGCCCAGGGGTGCTAAAAATCCCGTTTGGGCCTCCCCCCCCCTCGCGCGGTCAATCAACTAGTTTCAGTAACCAGCAAGAAGCAGAACTGTAACACTGGAAACTACAAGCTACAACTGGTACAGGAAACTGCGAATCACGGTCCTACAGCCTGGTGGCCCCACAAGGGGGCCGGCGGATTCCTTTCCGGGTTCGTGGGTCGATCATGTGTGATATCTTGCATCGGCTTTCGCTGGTAAAGCTGCTTTCGGACGTCCGAGCTGGGAAGGTCGCGGGAGCGATGATTGCATTGCCGTGTACATCTTTTTCGAAAGCCCAGGCAGGCCGTCTCAGGTCGGAGCTTGACCCAGTGGGACTGCCAGGTCTGCCCCCTCACCTTCAGGCCCGTGTGGATCATGGGAACGCCCTTCTCAAGGCTAGCGTTCTGCTCATCCGTACATGTATACCCCGCGGGGTCCCTTGGATACTCGATAATCCAGGTAGTTCATGCGCCTTCAAGACCCCCGCCCTTCGCGAATTTCTGGGTCTAGGGTGGTGTTTCGGAGTAGTGTGTGACCAGTGCCAATACGGCGCGCGGTGGAGGAAGAGAACACGGTTTTTCGTGGGCAACATTTGTGCTGATGACTGGAACAGGTTGAGTAAGCAGTGTAGGGCCCGAAGAGGCCTGTGCTCACGCACGGGGAAAGCGCATTGGCACCTTTTAGGAAAGTCTGAAACGGAAATTCACTGGACTGCTACTGCCGCAGAATATCCTCGCACCCTGGCCCGCGATTTAGCTTTTGCCCTCCTAGCCCCAACCAGATCCAGGTTTCGAGGGTGCTGACTGTGTCCGCTCGGATCTTATGCCTCCCCGTTTCGTGCCCTGGTTTCGTTCGCTTTCTAATCCTGAGGACATCTGGTTTGGGGGTGGTTCGGGACGACTGGCAGCGGCTGCGCGTAGACGCTGCTTGTGAGACGCGAGACGCATCCACCGATGCGTGAGAGACTAAACATAGGAGTGCGTGCGCAGAGATGTTTGTTGATCACGTCCTGTCGCTCCCACTGTCTCCTGACATAGCCTTTGGCTCCCGAGGTCAACCGGCCCTCCCCCCACCCTGTTCTTATTATTATTATTATTAGTATCATTATTACTATTATTGTTATTATTATTATTATCATTATAACTATTATCAGTATTATTCTTATTAGTATGATTATCATCATTATTATTATTATCATTATTATTATTATTTTTAATATTATTACTATTGTTGTTTTGTTTTTTCTTATCATTATTATTATTATTATTATTCCTTCGTGTATCAGTCAAGATTGGTCTCGCCGTGGGACGACTGGCAGCGGCTGCGCGTAGACGCTGCCTGTGAGACTCGAGACGCATCCACCGCTGCATGAGAGACAAAACATGGTTTTGGCCTCTTGAGGCCCTCCTGGGGGACCCCTTGGAGGCCTCTTGGGCCGTCTTGGATGCTTCTCGAGCGAACTTGGAGGTATGTTTGACTCTCTCAGGCCGTCTTGGAGGCCGTCTTGGACCATCTTGGGCGGACTTGGAGGCCATCTTGGACCATTTTGGAGGCCATCTTGGGCCAACATGGCCATCTTGGAGGCCATCTTGAGCCGTCTTGGAGGATTTTGTGTGGACGCTGAGGTGGTTTACGCGGCCTTCTGGGACCCCGGCGGAACGGGCCGAAACCCCACGGGGAGCTCTTTTGGAAAAAAAAACAAAGCCAAAACCGATAGGGTCCAGCACGCCAGGCGCCCCTGCGATGAATCGACAGGGGGCGGCGGATCCTAGTGGCCCTCGGCCAATCCCGCCACCGTGCCTGGGTTGTGGATCTGAGGCCTCTTGTATAAGTGTTGGGGTGGCCTGAGGAGCCTCTCGGGGGCCTCTTGGATGTTGTTTGGGAGCCTCTTGGTGGCCTCTTGTGGCCTCGTGGGGGTATCTTTTGGACCTCCTGGAGGCTTCTTGGGCGCATCTTGGGCGCCTCTTGGGGCCTTTGGGACCTCTTGGCGGCCTCTTGGCGGCCTCCAGGGGGCTTTTCGGGGCACAAATATCGAATGTTCTGTTCGTGGTCCCCTGCTTGGGCTCCTCTTGGGACCGTCTTTGGGTCCTCTTGGGCCATCTTGAGCGCTTCTTGAGCCATCTTGGAGCCCTCTTGGGCCCTCTTGGGTTGGGGCTCTCTCGGAGGCGTCTTGGGCTGTCTTGGGGCGGTCTTGGGAGCTTCTGGAGCCGTCTTGGTTTTCAAACATGTTTTTGTCAATCTACGATTTGGGCCTCTTGGGGCTCTCTCGGGAGGCCTCTTGGAGCGCTCTTGGGGCCTCTTTGGGCACTCTTGGGCCGTCTTGGAACCATCTTCGGGCGCCTTGGAGCACTCTTGTCTTGGCCTCGGCAATGCGAGTTTGGTGTAAATTGCAAAGGTTCATGGCTTCGGGGACGCGAATACGGCGTAATTTACGAAGGGGACGCAAGCATGGCGTAATGTATGAAGGTTTGTGGCCGCGGGGACGCGAGCATTGCGTACACTACGAGGGATTATGGCCTCGGTGGCGCGAATCTCAAGTATTTTTCGTGTCCCACGACTCCCCAGGAATTCAGGCAACGCGATCCGAGGGTGGTAACCGGGCGGTTTGGGGCGCTCTCCCCTCGCGCGGACTTCAACAATTTACAGTAGGAAGCAGAAAGCGGGACTGTAACATTGGAGACTTGAAATTGCAACAGGTTCAGGGAGCAGCAATTCGTCCTACAGCTTGGTGGCCCCACAAGGGGGCCAGCGGATTAGCCACCTTCGGCTGGCCATTTTCTATGACTTCTCGCGTTAATAAGCCGATCAACCTGCTATCGGTTTGTCGCATCTTACTGGTGCTGGCTTGCAGGGCGACGTGCGCGGACTTGCATTTCGATGGCACGTCCGGGAGTCAAACCTCGTTTTCCGAGGAGAGCACCTTCCTAATCCAGATCCACGGGTTTTCAAACAATACGCCTGGTTTGACGAGTTCGACGGGCGGCAACTCCACGACAGCCACCACGAAGGCTCGTGCGCCAACTGGCGGGACCACATCGCCTGGCGTGCCCAAATACACCCTGCCCCGCGGTAAGGGCGAGGACGCCAAGGCGGCCCGCCAGTGGTTGCTCGTGCTGGCGGACGACGCCACCGACGGCGAGCTGGCGAACATCAGCAGGGAGTTCGCCGACGGGCAGCAAACCAAGCCGAGCAGCGGCCAGATGCCGCTCGTGGCGGGGAGCCTGACGGAAGAGGCGCTCGACGCGATGCTCGAGAGGTACTTTGGGCGCGTGCGGTTTGTCGAAGAGGACGAGTACCAGTTGAAGGTTACAGACAGCCTGGCCAATACAGGGACGTCCAGTGCGGGGCCAGCGCGGAAGGCCAAAACTCCGACCTACCCATGGGGCATCCAGTACGTGGAGGCGGACGCGTGCCGGGGAAAGGGCGCTGGGGTGCACGTTTATGTGTTGGACACTGGCATTCGCATCACCCACAACGAGTTCGGCGGCCGAGCCTTCGCCGGAGTAGATGTTGCCGCCTCGGGGACGTATCCGGGGACGCTCACGGTGTGCTCTCCTCTCAGCACAACGTGCGCTGCAGACTTCCATGGCCACGGCAGCCACTGCGCGGGTACGGCGGGGGCCTCGACGTATGGTGTCGCGGATGGTGCGACCCTCTGGGCAATGAAGGTTCTCGATAACTCTGGCTCTGGCTGGACCTCGTGGTCCATTCTAGCCGAGCAGTGGATCCTGTCGTCTGGGAACAGGCCTGCAGTGGTCAGCATCAGTATCCAGGCCAACTACAACAGCTACGCGGAGGAGACCTCGATCGACAATTTGGTAGCCGATGGCGTAACCGTGGTGGTGGCTGCAGGGAATTACAATCAAGACGCTTGCCTCTGGAATCCAGCTTGGATCTCGTCCGCGATTACAGTAGCAGCGTTTGGTGGGACTTCGGGGAACTCATGGGACAGGTCTGGTTACAGCAATTGGGGATCTTGCATCGACGCCTATGCTCCTGGCACGAACATCCTCTCGACGGGCCCATGGAGCGACACCCACACTTACTCCAGCACGGGCACCTCCATGGCTTGCCCACACATCTCTGGGCTCGCGGCCAGGATGTACGAGGCGTATCCAACGGCGGGATCCATGACCGCTGCGGCCAGGTGGACCCTCCTGACGGCCACTAGCTGCACAGGGTGTGTCACCAATGACGCGACACCCTCACCAACTGTCAACCTGGTGATCAAAGCTCTCAGCTGCAGCACGTCAAACATCACTGCCTCACCGACAGCCTCGCCAACGGGCTCACCTACGGCCTTGCCGACAGCATCGCCAACAGCGACGCCTACGTTGTTGCCCACAGTTTCTCCCACACCCTCGCCCACGGTCTCGCCCACAGCCTCGCCATCGGCCACGCCCACAGCCTCGCCTACAGCCTCGCCCACAGTCTCGCCAACGGGCTCGCCCACAGCACCGCCCACGTCGCCCACACCGGCGCCGTCATGGAGCCAAGTGGTGAATAATTGCACAGTCTGCCCAGACATCCAGATCTTTTCCGACTGCCCAGGTCACAGCCCAGACAGTTGCGCCAGCGCAGGAACAACATCTCCTGGCTGCGAGTGGTGCCCCCTGGTGAACGAGTGTCGCGTGAAGTGCACGTGCCACGACGATGCCCCCCCCGCATATTCGTTGTTTGATTCGTGCGCTTATTCAGGGGGGGTGCCGACGCAGCAAGTTTTGTTCTGGCCCATTTTCCTTTCCCCGTCCTACACAAGCTATGCTCCGGAGTGCGAGTGTCCGTCATGGAGGACGCCCGCCCCGACAGTTGACACAACGGACCCCACGCCATCGCCCACGCAGGAGGGAGACCCGTCGCCCGCCCCGACGAAGCAGGGCCAGGACCCGACGCCCGCCCCGACGAGGCGGCCCACGCCGTCCCCGACAGAGCAGACGAATGAGCCCACGCCCTCGCCCACGCCCGAGGGCCAGGACCCGACGCCTGCTCCGACGAAGCAGGGCCAGGACCCGACGCCCGCCCCGACGAGGCGGCCCACGCCGTCCCCGACCCACAGTTGCGGTGACGCCTGCTGCGTGGGCATCGATCCGAACGATCCCGAATGTTGCGACGTCTGGCACCTTGGTTCAGTGACCAACCCATCAGATTGCGAGGCGTACCACGGCGGAGATATGTGCGTCTGGACCTGCTCCTCCGAGCATCCGACGCCTGCTCCGACGCAAGACGGCCAGGACCCGACGCCTGCTCCGACGAAGCAGGGCCAGGACCCGACGCCCGCCCCGACTCCCAGCTGCGAGGACGCTTGCTGCGTGGGCGTCGATCCCACCGACCCCAAGTGCTGCCACCTCTGGAACGCTGGCGTGCTGTCCTCCCCCGCAGACTGCGAGGCGTACAACGGCGGAGATTTCTGCGTCTGGACCTGCCCCACCGAGCATCCGACGCCTGCTCCAACGCATCACGGCTTTGATCCGACGCCGTCCCCGACAGAGCCGACGAAGGAGCCCACGCCATCGCCCACGCCAGAGGGCCAGAACCCGACGCCTGCTCCGACGAATAATTGCACAGTCTGCCCAGACATCCAGATCTTCTCCGACTGCCCAGGTCACAGCCCAGACAGCTGCGCCAGCGCAGGAACAACATCTCCCGGCTGCGAGTGGTGCCCCCTGGTGAACGAGTGTCGCGTGAAGTGCACGTGCCACGACGATGCTCCCCCCGCATATTCGTTGTTTGATTCGTGCGCTTATTCAGGGGGGGTGCCGACGCAGCAAGTGTTGTTCTGGCCCATTTTCCTTTCCCCGTCCTACACAAGCTATGCTCCAGAGTGCGTGTGTCCGTCATGGAGGACGCCCGCCCCGACAGCTGACACAACGGACCCCACGCCTGCTCCGACGAAGCAGGGCCAGGACCCGACGCCCGCCCCGACGAGGCGGCCCACGCCGTCCCCGACAGAGCAGACGAAGGAGCCCACGCCCTCGCCCACGCCGGAGGGCCAGGACCCGACGCCTGCTCCGACGAAGCAGGGCCAGGACCCGACGCCCGCCCCGACGAGGTGGCCCACGCCGTCCCCGACAGAGCAGACGAAGGAACCCACGCCCTCGCCCACGCCGGAGGGCCAGGACCCGACGCCCGCCCCGACGAGGCGGCCCACGCCGTCCCCGACAGAGCAGACGAAGGAGCCCACGCCCTCGCCCACGCCGGAGGGCCAGGACCCGACGCCTGCTCCGACGAAGCAGGGCCAGGACCCGACGCCCGCCCCGACGAGGTGGCCCACGCCGTCCCCCGACAGAGCAGACGAAGGAACCCACGCCCTCGCCCACGCCGGAGGGCCAGGACCCGACGCCCGCCCCGACGAGGCGGCCCACGCCGTCCCCGACAGAGCAGACGAAGGAGCCCACGCCCTCGCCCACGCCGGAGGGCCAGGACCCGACGCCTGCTCCGACGAAGCAGGGCCAGGACCCGACGCCCGCCCCGACGAGGTGGCCCACGCCGTCCCCGACAGAGCAGACGAAGGAACCCACGCCCTCGCCCACGCCGGAGGGCCAGGACCCGACGCCCGCCCCGACGAGGCGGCCCACGCCGTCCCCGACAGAGCAGACGAAGGAGCCCACGCCCTCGCCCACGCCGGAGGGCCAGGACCCGACGCCTGCTCCGACGAAGCAGGGCCAGGACCCGACGCCCGCCCCGACGAGGTGGCCCACGCCGTCCCCGACAGAGCAGACGAAGGAACCCACGCCCTCGCCCACGCCGGAGGGCCAGGAACCCGACGCCCGCCCCGACGAGGCGGCCCACGCCGTCCCCGACAGAGCAGACGAAGGAGCCCACGCCCTCGCCCACGCCGGAGGGCCAGGACCCGACGCCTGCTCCGACGAAGCAGGGCCAGGAACCCGACGCCCGCCCCGACGAGGTTGAGCCCACGCCGTCCCGACAGAGCAGACGAAGGAACCCACGCCCTCGCCCACGCCGGAGGGCCAGGACCCGACGCCCGCCCCGACGAGGCGGCCCACGCCGTCCCCGACAGAGCAGACGAAGGAGCCCACGCCCTCGCCCACGCCGGAGGGCCAGGACCCGACGCCTGCTCCGACGAAGCAGGGCCAGGACCCGACGCCCGCCCCGACGAGGTGGCCCACGCCGTCCCCGACAGAGCAGACGAAGGAGCCCACGCCCTCGCCCACGCCGGAGGGCCAGGACCCGACGCCCGCTCCGACAAGGTGGCCCACGCCGTCCCCGACGAAGACGAGGACCCACGCCCTCGCCCACGCCAGGACCCGAGCCCGGCCAGGACCCGACGCCCGCGACAAGGTGGCCCACGCCGTCCCCGACAGAGCAGACGAAGGAGCCCACGCCCTCGCCCAGCGGAGGGCCAGACCCGACGCCCGCCCGACGCCCACGCCGCCCCGACGAGGTGGCCCACGCCGTCCCCGACGCCCAGCTGCGAGGACGCTTGCTGCGTGGGCGTTGATCCCACCGACCCCAAGTGCTGCCACCTCTGGAACGCTGGCGCAGTGTCCTCCCCAGCAGATTGCGAGGCGTACAACGGCGGAGATTTCTGCGTCTGGACCTGCCCCACCGAGCACCCGACGCCTGCTCCGACGCATCACGGCTTTGATCCGACGCCGTCCCCGACAGAGCAGACGAAGGCACCGACCCGGGCTCCAACGCGCTTCCCTACGCCCTACCCTACGCCCTCGCCGACAATCGGGTTGGCCCCAACGCCCAAATTACCTTGGGAGCCCGTCGCCACGCCCAATCCTACGCCCATTCCGACGCCCTCGCCGACTATCGGGTTGGCCCCAACGCCCAAATTACCTTGGGAGCCCGTCGCCACGCCCACTCCTACGCCCATTCCGACGCCCTCGCCGACATTTGGGTCAGTTCCAGCGCCCAAGGGTAGGCAGGCCAAGGTCGAAGGCAGCTTCCAAGTCAAAGTACCTTCTGCCGATGTCGAGGCCTTCGTCAGTGACTCCTCGGTCAAGGCGGCCTTCCAACGCTCCGTTGCCGAGAAGGCCGGCGTGGCGGAGGCAGAGGTCGTGGTGACGCTCTCTGTGGTAACGGGCGCTGGCTCCGCAGGTCGTGGTCGAAAGGTACGCTTGGCGCCGATCATGCTGGGCTCCGCGGATCAGGCCGAGATCCAGGTCGACTATTCCATCAGCGTGGAGGAGGGGGCGGAGGGCAACTCCGTGCAGGGAGCGCTGGCTACCGTGACCGCGGAGCAGTTCACGTCACCCGTCGCAGGAGCTTCCAGCTTCGCGGTGCAGGCCGTCCCGGCCTCGGCCACGGCCCCCACGGTCAGCTTCCAGGTCTCCGCGACGGGGGACCCGCACCTGGTCAACGTGTATGGGCAGCGGTTCGATCTCATGCAGCCTGGCAACCACACGATGCTCTTGATTCCGAGGGGAGCTCCTCCGAGTGCGACGCTGCTCGGCGTGGTGGCGCGCGCCGAGCACATTGGCAAAGCCTGTTCGGAAATGTACATCGTGGCCCTGACCGTCACCGGCCAGTGGGTCGCGGGAGTCCCCGGTGCGCAGCGCCTGGGCGAGGCCTGGAACATGCAGTACTTCGCTAACAAGCCTGCCCAGCGGGGCAGCAGCGGCGCTGGCTGGAATACCTACGGCAACATCCGCATGAAGGTCAATTGGGGTCATACCGTTGGGGGGGTGAAGTACATCAACCTCCTCGTGCGCAACCTGGCCCACTCCGGGTATACTGTCGGAGGCCTGCTCGGCGAAGGCGACCACACGTTTGCGTCGACCCCGATGGCGCATTGCCGGCGGTTCTCGTCACTATGAGCCGCGATCCAGTGGTCGTGGCGAGAGGGGGATAACAAGATTTTGTCGCTAGCGGCGAGGTGGGTGGCTGCAGGCCAAGAGGAGGAGGAGGAGGAGGAGGAGGAGGAGGAGGGGGAGGAGGACGAGGAGGAGGAGGAGGAGGAGGAGGAGGAGGAGGAGGAGGATGCTGAGGCGGCAGCAGGAGCAGGACATCAAGCCACCCACCGACCTTCAGCCTATTGCCGACCTGGCGGGCTCCAGCTATTCCTTCGTAGAGTCCGCAGAGACAGCCACCGCAGTCAGCGCTTTTTCTGAGGCGGGCTCTCTCCGCGGGCCAGCTGGGTGCTGCGCGTGTGCGAGGCGCGGAGGCGTGCAGCGCACCCGTTGCATACATATCACATGTATTTGAACATACTCCGAGTTTCTTGATCAGCGTCGGGGAGGCGTCACCACGTCGACATCCCCACATCGACCCCCGTCGCGGGCAGCCACTGCGCGCCGAAGGCGCTCCGACCCCCGTCGCGGCGCGACGACGAGGCGAGGTTGAGCCCCGTCGGGGGGGCACCCCCCGACGCTGATCAAGAAGCTCACAGTACCTGGCGAGATCCCGACCTGGCGAGACCGCGGGGGCGTGCTTCTGTGACCAACCGCCTTCTCCCGCCTTTCCTGTACGTCCTCGCTGCCCTCTTGTCCCCGAAGCAGGCACGTGCGAAGTGAGGGAGATGAAGAAACGAGATGGACACCGTCATTCTCCTCCTATTTAAGTGATTGCGAGCACCCTGCTGGTATAGCAGCTGCTCGCCGACGCCTGATTGTTGGGATGAGATCCCAGTAGCTTCAAACTCCTGGGATTACTTTCGTTATTGCTTCTGGGTGCGCTTGTCGCAGCGGCTTTCTGGCGTTCTGCAAAGCAACCTCGGCGAATCATCGTCGCCGACATTTAATCAGCCTCTGCCCTTCTATGCAGTTTGAGATTACTGTTTTTCATAAAGGTGGGAGGCGCGGGAGGACGGGGCGGGAGATGAGGACGACGATCTTCGGCGCAGGAGAGGCGCGGTGATGTCCAGGAGTAGGGCAAGGAAGAATTGCGTCGTGCAAGTGCACGCTCTTCTTGGACATGTGTAAGGCTAGACTAGATCTGCTGTGCTCCAATCTTCTCTAGGGTCTTAACGCGCTGCCCCCTGTGACAGCGTAGTTGCATGCATGCAAGGGGCTCAACCTCTGCACGCCTGCTTGAACAAAGCAAGGAGCTCCCAAGAGGCCCCCCCAGGACGCCCCAGGCGGCCTCCAAGAGGCCCCCGAGATGCTCCCAGGAGGCTTCACAAACGTCCCCCGAGGCCTCCAAGATTCCCCAAAAGCTTTCCAGGACGCCCCCAGTAGTTTCCAAGAGGCCACACGTGACTCCAAGAGGTCCGAAAAGGTCCCCAGAGAGCCTCCCAGAGCTGCCCGAGAAACCCCAAGAGAGTCCCAAGACGGCCCCAGAGTTACATAAGCCTCCCAGAGCTGCCCAAGAGACACCAAATTGTCCCGAGACGGCCCCAGATGGCGCCCAAGACGGCCCGCATGGTCACCGGAGGGCCCCTAGAGGGACCCGAGATGGGGAATTCCAACTGTCATTTCGAGCCTTCCGCCTCCACAAAGCTCCCGAGGACGCCACCGAGCTCCCAATGGGTCGCCCAGGAACTCCAACAAGCCTCCGAAATGCCCTGAAGAGGCCCCAAGAGGCTTCTTGAATGCTTCCAAGAGGATCCCAGGAGGCCTCCCCATAAGCCCTGAGAAGCGTATGAGACGCCTCGCGTCTACATCCTGCACGATCCATCTCTGGGCTTCATGAGGCACTTGAGAAACACGCCGCGAGGCCCCGAGGGTACCAAAGACGCCCCGAATTCACGATCCAGGGCAGGGCTGTGCCGACATGGGCGGGGCGGCGGGATGCGAACATTGGCTCTGGGACTGTCGGTTGAGCTCCCTGTGGGGTACGATCCGTGTGAGGAGACAGTCAACATACACAGGAGGACGAGATGTTATGCGACTCGTCCCACCAGGGCCTCACCTGAAGCTACATCCCTCTTGGGCACGAACCGTGTGAAGGGTGTGCCGAGACGGGGGGGGGGACGCCATGCGATCCTTGACCCTGGACTCGAATGTAGAGCCCACGGGGGGTGGGCACGATCCGTGGAGGAGACGGCCCCAGATGGCGCCCAAGACGGCCCGCATGGTCACCGGAGGGCCCCTAGAGGGACCCGAGATGGGGAATTCCAACTGTCATTTCGAGCCTTCCGCCTCCACAAAGCTCCCGAGGACGCCACCGAGCTCCCAATGGGTCGCCCAGGAACTCCAACAAGCCTCCGAAATGCCCTGAAGAGGCCCCAAGAGGCTTCTTGAATGCTTCCAAGAGGATCCCAGGAGGCCTCCCCATAAGCCCTGAGAAGCGTATGAGACGCCTCGCGTCTACATCCTGCACGATCCATCTCTGGGCTTCATGAGGCACTTGAGAAACACGCCGCGAGGCCCCGAGGGTACCAAAGACGCCCCGAATTCACGATCCAGGGCAGGGCTGTGCCGACATGGGCGGGGCGGCGGGATGCGAACATTGGCTCTGGGACTGTCGGTTGAGCTCCCTGTGGGGTACGATCCGTGTGAGGAGACAGTCAACATACACAGGAGGACGAGATGTTATGCGACTCGTCCCACCAGGGCCTCACCTGAAGCTACATCCCTCTTGGGCACGAACCGTGTGAAGGGTGTGCCGAGACGGGGGGGGGGACGCCATGCGATCCTTGACCCTGGACTCGAATGTAGAGCCCACGGGGGGTGGGCACGATCCGTGGAGGACCGTGCCGATCTCGGCGGGTGGACGCCACGTGAACCCTGCCCTCCTCTGGGCCCCGCGGCCGCCCCTGGGCGCACTGGCAAGTGGGTCCAACCCCCTAGTCAGGGGCAACGATAGGGGGGGACAGGCATACGTAGGGGGGGACAGGCATAGGGGGGGGTGCATCGACCCC